GCACCTGACTAAAAGCCGCAGGGTTCAAAGCTTGTGCAAAAAGTAGCGGCTTATAGCCCGACAATTACGGTAATCATTATGTGCAGTTTGTGTTGCCTGTTTGTTGTTCTTGTCTGTTGAGCTTGAAGATAGCTTTTAATGTTGGTGATTAGTAGATTCCATTTCTAAGCTAAATTAAGAGAGTAGGCAAAAACTAAGTAAAAGTAATGTTGGCACTGAACAAAAAACCCCTCATCCTTTCGATGTTAGCGGATAATTTGTCATTTGTCATTTTAAGTTATGTAACAGTTCAGCCCAGCAAAACATTAAATAGCGAAAAAGAAATTAATTTCTTTGCATTCATTTAGACAGAAATTTCGGTTTCTGTCATGGTATCACATCTGAGTCTAATTTATTATAATAATCATAATTATTTACTCATGCCTCATGAAGTATGTTGACAAGTCGCTAGAGGGGATACATCACTCTCTTTTTTTCAGAATTTCCAAATCCAAGTTGTTTTGTGTGCGTACATCTCCCAAAGTAGTTTTTAGTGATAATTAAAAAAATTATTTGCTCCACCACCAACTCCTCATGAGTATAAATTTTTAATTTTTGTTGTTTAAAAGATAAAAACTTTGCACAGTTAAAAAATCGCATCCATGAACACACAAAAATATACCATAGAAGAAACACAAATCAACAGTGACTGTCTCACGACCTGCTCTAAGAGAACGTGTTGTACAATATGTTCACATACTGACAGTGAAAGCATTAAATACATTTAACAATCAAAATTAATGAAGCACATTGAATTATTAGATTGTATTGTTTTAGACTGTAAAGAGTTCCATCCAAGCTTGTTCATTTGTTTTGTGAAGGAGCACTTTATGAGAGAACGTTTTCGACCTTGAGGCAGTGTCCAGTTCGCAATAAATACATCCAGTATAATAAAATATCTTTAAAATTATATTTACCGACATTTCAAGTGACTGCATTCGATGTTTAAAGTTCTTCTGAAAAGCATTTCAGGCACAGTTTTATATGTAGTTATAAAAACAAAATAATCCACATTGCAATAAAAACCAAAGGGAATAAAAGAGGGTAATTTTTTCCACATATTCTTTCGCTGTATACACGGACACGTTATTTATTTATCCAGAACAAGTCAGAGGTGTTTGTGAGATTACTTGGGGGAGGTTTTAACATTTTAGTGACATTTTCTTTTAAATAAATTTAGAAATCAGAACATGAACTTCCAGTAACCCCTGTAATATTTCACTCCTCTCTCCACCCAAGTGAAACTGATGCAGGTGTAGTAACAACCAAAGATCTGTACGCTCATTTAAATTGTGCATCCTTCCATGTTTTATACACTGCAAATATCAGTGGAGGTCCCAGAAGGTGCAGAATAATCCAGGGGAAACACAGTGTGAAATGTTATAGAGCTCTGGAGGGAAAGGTCTCATCTTCTCACAAAGCCTGCAGATTAAAATCTGACTGAAGCCGTGTTTACATTTTGAATTTTAGCTGCTGGAGTGTTAAAAACCAGGAATAACAAACCTGGAATAACACTGTGCGACAAGGGAAATGGAAAACTGACAATCTCTACATGAACATTCCCAAATAGCAATAACTAACTATTATTATTTCATAGATCCCTGACCTTTTAATATTTGTATATGTTATATTTATCTCATCATCATCATGAGAATGAAATGTCACATTCTCCATTTGTATTTGTACATGGTCAAAACATATGTCCAGTATGCAACTTAATGGCCA